ACGCAGGGAGAACGAAAGGCAGTACTCCAGGTGTGGCTGACTAAGCTTGGACTTCCTTCTGCTGGTTTGGCACCCTCTTAGCCAAATAAAATATATTTCGGCTCGTCTATATACGTGAGAATCAGATTGGGTTTAACTGCAATTGCTAGACTATAAGACAGAGAAGAAGAGAGAATATTTATTTAGAAAGAATATAAGCGGAATTAACAAATGGAAGAAAGAAGCAGCTGACCTATATTTCAGGAACTGGAACATGTCTGTAATGCAGATGAAAAAGCCATTCCAACTCCCCTTTAAATTGTACACCATCCAAATCTATTTGTCATGAAGCAGTTACCTGCTCGTAGCTGAAAAAGCGCTTTGATATATTTTTTATGAATCTAGCTTCTCCAGTGCTAAGATAACTGATCACAACACAACCTTGCATTAATTATTGTACTTCTGTCTCCAGAATGATGTCCTATAAAAGAGGAAAACTGAAAAAATAGGATGTATTCATTTTACACAAAAAAAAGACAGATAACAAAAGGAAGAATTTGTCCTTTTCTTTCATAATACTGCAGAGGACAATCAAACAATTAAGAAAAAAAAGTTTAAAAGTGCGTTTTGAAAAAGCAGTTTTTCTTGGTTTAAATGAGATACTCAGTAAAGGAGGAAAGAATTAACAATAAAAAAGAATAGGTGCCATTCAGAAAACAGTTGGAGCTTTATTTGTTTTTTTTTTCCTACCCTGGAAAACAGTAAATGGTCAGTATAATTAAAGCAAAGTAGTATAATTTTTTAAGCTGAAATTTTGACCTATTTTAATTATTATTTTTATTGTTTGAAGGAAATAAAATTCTTAAAGAAGCCCATAGTCTAGATGGAGGAAAAAAAAGGAATAATTTTCTTTAAAAATTAAGTTTTACCAGATATTTTAACTATCCAGTATTCATATATTCACATATTATGCAGATTGTAAGGATGCAGGGTTTTTTATCTAATTTTTCGCTTTGGTACCTACAAATGCTCATTCTTGCAGTCTGTGTTTGAATCAGGGTTATATCTCACAGCAATATCAATAAACTCCATCCACAGGTTTTTCTTATAATACCCTATCTTTCTGCTGTGTTTTACCTAAACCAAAATCTGGGACCTTACAGTTAGCCTCACAGAAAAAGACTAATGCTGAACTTAATATAGGAAATATAGTTATTGTCTGATTTATTGTCTGATGTCTGATTATTATTCTCGTCTCTTTTTTGTACCTTACCTTAATGCTTTACTGAAATGGCAGCCGGATTTTGGTCTTTTAATAAATAGCAGTCCCTAGAGCTGTAGGATGTAAAATCCAGACACACGTGGCTTAGCAGCTCCCAATTAACTTTAAAGGGAGCGTTATATTAGTATTATAAATCAATTAGGTGAAAGAAAATGTAATGTACTCAAACATTGTAAATAGTGTAAATACACCAGATAGCATTTGTAATAATGTGAATAATTTTTAAAGAGAGGAGATTAGACAGTGAGTTTGCTAGTGCTCCTGATGAATACTTTCCTGCTTTGTTTTATACACACTCAGATGCTATTTCAGTGGAACATCTTCACTCCTGTTCTTCTCTGTCCACAAGTAAACAGCATGTTCCTCTCAGATCTCAGGGTTTCTGTTTCCTTAACGTGACCATAATGTCTACTATGTTGCCTGGATTAAAAAGACTAGCCACATAGTAGTCTCTTCTGAAATTCTTTAGGAAGGACACTGGGGTTTCTGCTTAGCACTATAGCTACTAATAAAACAAAAATATGTTAACTGGGTCCAACATACAGACATATCCAACTCTTGATCTCTAGGAGGTTGTTTCTTTCCAGGTTAATGCCTCCGCTCCGCAGTCCAACAGAGTAAAATAAAGATGTTTGTCTATGTAATCCCTCACTCAGCTCTATTTTCATTACTTCCTGAGATGAAATCCCAGTTTAAAAGTATTAATTGTAGACCAGAACTAAATGGTACAGCTCTTCCACTTTTAGTTTGCCTTCTTGGTCCACGTGACGTGAGATGGGAAACAAGGTTTTTAATGTATGCATCTTCCTTCTACCTCCTGCACTGGAAAAATTCACTGTCCTAGTAGCCCAGGAGATCAGTGAATACACAGAGTAAATGAAAAGATAGTGCCTCTCAAAAGACTGGTTGTGCTCAAGCATTAAGAAGCTGATAGGTCATAAGTGGGGTGCTATGATCTGATCTCTGATATGAGGGTGTCGGCTCAGACAGCAATTCCCTTGATAAGTGTAGGCTTTAGGACTTCCTCTTAAGTGAGTGCCATAAGAAAACTAAGCAATAAATCTCCCATCTATTTTCCATTCAAATACAGGTTGAGAATACCCCTGCTTATCAAACCCCAATTGAGGATATTTTCAAGCTTTTCTAAATTATCTGCACTACCCTGCTTTTTGCATATATGCAGAGAGAGAATATTACAAAGGAAATTCATATCTCCTTACTGTTTCATCTCTACATTTTTTGGGGCAAAGGCAAATCCTACAAGTAAAAAGCATGTTCCAAATACAATTGCCTAGAAAACCATTTAGATTCCTGTGCTTGGAAAATGCTCAATAGAATATGTTTCACTACCACCAACAGAAGACAGAATCATAGAATCATAGAATCATTAAGGTTGGAAAAGACCTCTAAGATCATCAAGTCCAACCGTTAACCCAACATCACCATGCCCACTAAACCATGTCCCTAAGAGCCTCATCTATGTTAGCATATATTAAGAATGAAAATGGGACAGTGATTCTGGCACATCTTTGTGAAGTGTTTTAAGGTCAGTAGTTTGAGAAAACAAAATAAATGAAAACAACACAATGGGTTTGTACATTCAGTGTTATCTTTGCAAAGTAAAAGGGTTATAAACATAATCTCGCTCCAGCTTTTAGCCGTTGAAACTTCGCTGATTACAGTGGCATGATATCGGGGTACACCTGGTGTAGCTCAGCAGGGAATTAGACGTAGATATCTTACATTTATTTACTGAAAGCTATAACTTATATTCAGAGGCCAGTGGGTCTTTTAGTTAGTAACTCTGAACTCCTAATTCATTTCCTTAGCAAATAAGACAGGATTTATCTAGATTCCAGTTTCATTTTTATCCAAGCTGAATTTAAGTATGCAAATGTCTCTCTGCATTAACTGTTTTAAAGCTACTGTATTAAAACTCAGATTGGTCTAAGAGAAGAAAGAAATAGGACCATGGCATATTGGCTTTAGAGTATCCAGCTGCGGAGCCAAGAGAGCAAGCTAAATATATGCAAGTCATATGTTAATTATGTATGCATTAATGTAATGCAAATGGGCACTCACCTGCATGGCAATATACTAATAATACATTATAGTATTAATAGTATCTACATGAAGGAAATACCACATTTGATTTTATGTATTTTCATATTTTGTTTTTAATTTTTAGTTAAAAGGTAAAAATTCTACTGTACTCATCATTATTGTGCCATAATAGATTACTTAAACCATAAATAGCCTATTTGAGTCTATACGGTCCCTCTTTGGCATGGAATTTCTTATTCAGCAATTCCTAGAAATAGATCTTTTGACTGAAACATATGCTGGTTGGAGTGCTCTGGCTTTCTCAGCAAGGCAATGTATCATACGCTTACTTAAGCCTCTGGGTCCTCCTAATATCAATGGGATTAGGTATTTGTTTAAAGGAAGGCATGCGCCTAAGTTACTTGCTGAACTGAGGCCTAAAAGAAGCAGGAGAGTCGTAGAAATTACTGTATGTGATGATGCCATTAAAGATAGTCTGCCGCTGACTGCGCAGGAGCGGGCTGAATTAGGGCCATACAGAATCCTTCATATCTGAATGCTTTAGTGTTTCCTTTGTGTAGGTGGAAACCAGGTTTTTACATGCTTTTATAAAGCATCGTATGATGCAAGATATAAAGGGTACAAATTGGACTGTCCTGAGAATTCCAGCTACCTGCAATATAATCCCATATTATAATTCCAATATTATCTCAGTAATCATTGAGAGCCTAGTCCTGAGGGTCTCTGGCAGCCAGGGCTTACAGGATTGAGTCTTCGTACAGGGCCAGCCATACGCTCATGATGATTAATGACACTTCTCAGATGCATTAAATGCACTTGTCTTGTCTTCACACCTCAAGGCACAGCCAAAGCATAACATCAGTCACCAAAACCACTCAGACTGCTATGCATTATTGTTTAATTAAACAACACAGATAATTTCCAAGACTATTTCCAGTATAAACATAGCCTGATAGCTAAGCTGTATTTAACTTTAGGAAGGAAGTACAAATGTTGAGATGAGAATGACATTTAAATGTGAGGAAAACAGCTTATGCAAATAGTAGTTCACCTTTTTTGGTTTTCTCCTTCCAAATTTAGCTTGACAAAAATCATGTCCAGCAAGCACAGGTTTTCCCTCCTCCACCCCCAGCCATGATGAATGTGAGGACACTGATTACAGAATTTATTTTAAAAATCCATTTGCATTCTCCTCAGAGATATATGGAGTCCTAATTAATTGCTCTGACATATCTGAGCCAGAAGCCCTCCTCAGCCACAGGGAGACTATCCCAGTAATTTAGACAACCTTTAGCTTCAAACTATTTGCTGGAAAAGCTCTGTGGAAGTGTGATTGTGGTAAGTAAAAACGACTCTGCTGTATAGCACCAGCACAACACCTACGAAACTTTGTGACTTAAACAACACCCATGGTCGGTGCTATCCTTTTAAAGAGAGGTAAATCTACTTCTTTAATATTTTGAGGTCGTTTAATAGAAAAGACTAGATCACACCTTTTTGCTAACACTTTGCAGTGATGGTAGGATTTCAGAAAGTGTCTTTTAGACTTGAAAGAAAGCAAAGTTAGGTCAGACTGGAGAGCTTTTGAAAAACCTACTCCAAACTAGCAAAGCTATTTCATTTTCCATTCTCTGAGCCACTCTTATGCTTAGTCGTACTGCACTGTGTTTTTCAGAGGATGCCTATAAAACTCAAGTCCGAATTGATGACGAACCAGCCTATTTGGACATTCTAGACACTGCTGGACAGGTAAGTAGTTTCCCAATGTGAAAAATTCAATCAGAGATAAAACTAAAGATTTTAACCTCAGATATATGGGTCACAGAGCTAGAAACAAGCTTTCCTATTCAAACATAAAGGGAGCAGTGGCAGAAAAACATTGAAGAATTAACAAAGGAGAAGATTAAAGGAGTGCTTCAGTAGTGTAGCATAACTTCAAAATCTGACCAGAAGAGACAGACAAATTTAATTGAGTAGAAGATAAAAAGCTGTTTGTTTCTTCTTCTCTTGTATACAGAAACATCTATCACAATCATGGAATGAATAAATGCTGTTGTTGGTTTGTCTTACGTGTTTATCGTTCCTGCTTTTCTGTATATTACAGGAATCTTCTGGTCTACTTATAGATCAAGTATTTTGTTACCATTCTTCTCCTCCCCACATTATATTTAAACATCAAATGCTGACCTATAAGGAAAAGGTCTTAATGCCAAAAGTAACACACAGTGTACGTATAATGTGTATATGCATGTGTGAGCATCAGTCAGGGAATTAATTTTCACATCCAGTAAGGCAAAAGAAGGAGTTAAATGCAACAATGCCTTCTACCTGACTTAGTTCACCCTTGTTCCACCTCAAAATATTTTTATTTGTTTAATCAAAATGTTGCAGCTGGTTGATCTTTTCCTGAGGTGTGTGTCAGGTTTTGTTTGAAGGCTTGATAGTTTCATGAGTTTCCATAGTGCATGTGCACCTTGTACAGGAATGAGTCTGTCAACAAGGACAGTAGATCCTTAAAACAAACAAACAAAAGAAGATTTAGGATGTATAAGCCTAGAAACCTTGATCTCAGCTTCCCAAACGTCTGAATGCACCTTAGCTGGGCACTGCAAATGGTGTGAAATGCAGTCTGCTGCCAGGAATTAGAATAGCATCAAGTTATATAAAGTTGAATGTAGTTCAGGGGGATTGTGGCATGAGTTTTACATGGGAATGAAATATAGGCCAATTTCAAAGTGAACTCAACCCAGTTTCAGGAATCAAAAGATGCCCTGAATTATTCTTCCTTGACCCAAAATTATACAGTCTCAGCAGTTAACCAGTGACTTGCTGCTGAGTCTCCTGTGAAAGTGTTTGATTATCCAGAAAATGTAAGCTAAATTTCAAGGCATGTCTCCAAAGCTGTGAATTTAATTGACCTATTATTATAACAGGCCCAAGAAGTTTCTTATGCATAATAGTCCTAGCATAGCTTCAGCAATGGTTTGACTGGGGGAAAGAAGGAACATCATAGTTGCTACTCAATATGTCTGAAAACGTCTGTACTTCTGTTGGAGAAGAGGAAGCAACATCTTCTTTGCTCACTCAGGAAGTCTGAGACTAGTAACTTCAGCCTTATATCGTCGTTAGAACACAGTCATTAGGGAAATTATATCTTCAGCTTTTTAGTCCTGTAAGGCTTTATGTATTAGGGACCTCCTGTGTTATCCTTTAATATAGTTCACTGTCTACATCTACTTCATTCTACTCCTAAATTCCCGTTAGTCCTACTTTGTAGAGTCAAAATGCTAAAAAATAAAATACTTTCTTACCCAGAGCCGAAGAGAAATGATGAATCAGAGTTTATGTGTCCAGCTTTTTGCTAATGGAAAGAGGACCAAAGTGCTGTACAGGATTTATTCATTTTCATAGGTGTGTTCCTAATTTGCTGTGGAGACTCTGAGAGTGCAGGAGTTAAACGCTGCAAACCAGGAGGGTACAGTAGGTACAGAGCTCCTTGCGTTGTGCTCCTGCTTACAGACCTGTGCAGGGAAGATGAGCTACCCGATCCTAAATTTGCATCAGTAATGCAAATATTATTTATACAAAGGAAATAAAGCAGCTTAAAATCAAAGCAAAGAATGGATGATAAATAAAACAAAATTGGATAGTGTGCTTTTATTTTGAGCTGGGGAGTAATATGGTGTAAAAAGCAAGAGGAATAATTTCTTCTACTATAAGTTTTTCCATTTGTTTTTGTTACTAGAAACATAAAATTTTGTGGTGTTGAGAAAAAAAGAATCAGATATTGAGAGTTTCCTTCTCTTCCTAAGCCCCCACCAAAATCAAAGCCTCTATTTTTTCTTTTTTTTTTTTTAATTAGAACAAGTATTTCTTAAATGGTTTTTAATTTTCTGTCAGCTTCTTTTAAAATGAAAAAAAAAAAAAAAAAAAGGCCCAATCTTCAATCCCTTTTAATCCCTTTGAAAATATTTAATATTTTTTAGATTCAGGAAAAAGGAAAAACTATCCCTATGCACTGGCCTTTTAAGTAGCTGAAAATACCATGTTTTCCAGTTTAAACAAAGCTTATCTTTTGTCAGTCATGTTCACTTTTTAGGAAAAATTCCCCACAAAACTGTACAACTTTTACATGATTTTTTATTTTTGATCATACAAAATAGCTAGAACAAAACCTCATTTTTAATTGGTGGGGGATTCATTGCCAATATTATGAATTTTAGCAGAACTGAGCGTTGTAAGGTAAGAAAAATCAGAATAATGCAAACAGTGAAAGCTGGTGAGAAAAATAGTAGAGAAAGGCTGGAGAGTTTTAAATTTCGTTTCAAGAAGGGACCTAAATATCCGTAGTATTAGAGGCCCATGGCATGTAATGACCACATAATGAAATGTGATGCAGAGATTTTGGAGCAAGCAGAGACCTGTGGCGGTAGCACCACACTCTGCAGGTACATCAGCCCAGGACATTGTACAGCCTGGGCATACTTATTCATGATCCAAGTTGAGTTGATACGAGAAAATCTCTGCTTTAAATTTCCCTCTTCTTACAGCGGAGACTGTCACTGAAACATGTCTCAGTGTATCTACGCTAGGAAGCTCTTCCCACTTTCCTAGGCCCCTATTTTTCAGAAACTGTCCATTCTAAGTATCTTGGATTTAGCTGCTTGTCTTTGCAGTTGTCTTTGAATTTGTTGCCTCTCTATCTGCACTACACAGCTCCAGAATAAATCAAGACCTAATCCAACTCCCATTGAAGTCAACAGCTAAAATAGCCTCCTTCCTCACAGAGGGCTTAATGTTACTCTCACTGAAGTTCAAACTGAAATCCTGCTGTGACTTTAGTGACTCAGGGTAAAAATCCAAAGCGCCCAGTTTTGCTGATGATGGTGTGCTCTGATGGTACCTCACTGGGTTTCATGTTAAAGCAGAGATGGTGTTACAACTTCTAAATCATGTAGGGGAAATCTCATTTCTCTCTGGGTGTCCTCGCAGTCATAAATACTTCATCATCAACTTTGAATCATGACTTTAATCACTTCAGAAGATCAAGGAGCTGAAATTGTAATTTTTCCCTACTTGGGAAACACAGGAAGCCAACAGAAAAACCAATTGAATTTAAAGTATTTTGCTGTTGTTCTAGAGAATATGTTTCACTAAATATGCTTCTCCTTTCCCTGCTGTACCTATGCAGTAATTGAACACTTCAACGCTGACCAAATATCGATCTTTATTAATAATTAATATAGTTCTTTATTGTCAAGTCCAGAGTTAAAAATCCACATCTGATTTCATATCTGAAACTGGATAAAAAGCTTTGGTATTTCAACTGATAGATACAGTTTGGAGCACCAAAAACATAGATGGTGCTTCAGAAATACATTTCTGGTTCTCAACTTTCTGAAGTTACAAAACATTCAAACAAGGTGAAAACCAGAAACATTAATAAACTATTAGTATTGCTCATCTAGTTACTGGTCTTCCTCTTCTCATGCGTATACGTAGACACCATTAAACATGGCAGATTGCTCCTATCAGGTAGCAGACTGATGTTCCTTGAACTCTGGATGCATATTTTTTACATCATCAATTGTCCTCTAATGCTCTTCCAATATCATTTTTCCACTGAAGGTACAGTAAGAGGCACATTCTTAATGTATGTAGGGCTACTGTAAGTCGTTATGCTTCACTGAACTCACCACCCCTGCTTTTCACCACCCGCTACATTTGCCTGCCTTTGCTCAACGCAATCAACTTCAGACAGAATAAGATTATGTCCAACTCAGAGAGTTTCAAGGGCAGGTGTTGCTGAAGTCGCTGCTTATAGCCGAATTGTCATAAACAGCACTTACTTGAGCAGTTTCTACCATAAGACTTGAAAACGTGGAGTGCAGCGAGAAGAAAAGGAACAAAAAATTGATGTTGTTTCTCTTTTTCAATGGCACAGCTGAATCTGGAAGACATGTAGCCTTAGCTTCACATTTGCTGCCAGAAGAAGCTATCAATGATGCCTTTGGCTCTCCTTTAACTAGAAGTTCTCTTCTTAAAACACAAGTTTTGGTTTTGCGTCTGCATTTCAGTTAAAACAAAACCAAAAAGCAAATGAAAACAGAGAGTAAATGTGAGATTGAGCTTTAGGAGGGATTTTATTTAGTTAGCTTTTAACCCTCTAGGCTAGCTAAAATTTGGCATGTGGAGTAAATAAAACCTTAATGGAAATCTGCAAATGCAAACTATTACCGGTAAAGATAGCTTGAGCTTCCTTGTTCAGTCGTGTTTATAGGACATTTTTTTGAGTAACTCCCCCTTGAAATTCACCCATGTGCCTCTCTCTATCCCTTAAGGTTGGGAGAGGTGTTAGGGAGGAGATAGTTCTGAGGTTTCCCTTTTCTTGTCCAATGTGTCATAAACCTCACCTGCTTTTACATATATTTGATTAAAACTGGTGTAAACTCTTTGACTGCCAGGAAACTTGTGGCTGCAAACGAAAGGACATTCAGACCTCAAGTCCTTTATTCTGTGTTCAGTTCCCTTCACAATTATTGTCAGAGACTGACAACCCCCAACTGCTCCAACCGTGCACGAAAAGCCTCCATACAGGGTTATAGAAACCTTCTGTTCACTCATTTACGCTTTTTCACTCTCTCTTCTAACTTAAAAATATGTTGTTCTGGAGCCCAGTTTGAATTCCTCCTCATGGAGCATACACAACGGTTATCTCTCCTTCTGTATTTATAAACTGTTGACTGACA